TAGCCAGGTAACAAAATGTTTGCAAGAAAACAACCAAGCTCAGAGAACCCCAAGGACTCCAAAGATCTTGCAAGTCTGAAAGCACATCCCTCACCTTTACTTTCCAGAGAACCAGGGACAATTCCTTCTGAGATGCTTTCCACACTCCCATTCCTTCTGTGAGCTGACCTCATAGCCTATCACGTGTACAGAGGGTGTGAGTTAAGAAATAGGAACTATGAAACTAAGCCAAAGTCTCTAACAAAAGAGATGGATTTTAAGGAGAACTCTGACAAAGGAGACCATCTTCTGAAAGATACACTGGCCTGACAGATTAGTCACACAACGCCAACCAGGACAGCTACCTTACAGGTGCTATGCCAAAGAGCCTTCAAGCATAGCTACTCTAACAGCACACCTGTGGTGCCTGCAGCTCAATTTCAAACAGGATTTGACCTATAACAACATTCTCCAATTTGGAAAGCATACAATGAAGAAAAAAAGGACACACAATTTAATTTCTGATGCACAAAACCTGGAAAAGGGGATAGATTTGTTTTGTTCAAACCAGATTTCAATTTTGCTAAGCACTTACACTGCAACATACACATGGCATTAATATGTGTGAGCGTCTTCTTCATACATGCGGGCAAAGTGGCTTTTTCACAGAAGCTATCGGGGCAGTTAGGGTTTTTTTCCCCAAACATATAACCCCGTGTCATACTTTACACAAAGAAATCATGCATCAGGTTCCCTCATTCATACACGCACTTAAAATGCCCTGCCGTTTTTGTCAACACAGCTTTAAAACTCTCCTTGTCTCTTCTGTGTGTGTCTACCCACACCTGGCTCACATTCACCTCCATGCAAATCCTGAGACAGCACCTCTGTGACACTGACACAGATCTGGTCAATTTCAAGAAAGGTCAACTGGGCATTCCCATCTTACATCCTAGGCTGCCTTTTCTATCACACAGGAAGAGGAAGAAGGCAATCAAGTTGTCAGTAAATTCACAGGTTCAGAAACGGGATGCAGGGCATCCTTGCAGGGGGATGCAATTCCCTGCATCCGCTGCCAAATGGCCGTTTCTTTCTTTCCATGGCTGTTCTCTAAACTCAGAAAAACAACATTTTGGACGTCCCCTGTTATGTCTATAGGACCAACAGGTAGTCCTCACTTACCGACCACTCGAAGTTACAACAGCACTGAAAAATTAGACTTACAACGGTCCTCAAAGTTGCAGCCGTCACAGCATCCCCGCGGTCACGTGATCGCGATTCAGGTGCTTGGCAACCGGCACGCATTTATGACAGTTGCAGCGTCCCACAGTCCCGCGATCGCCATTTGCCACTTTCACAGACAGCTTCGACAAGCAAAGTCAGTGGGGAAACCGGCCAAAGTCGCAAGTCACGGCCACGTGACGTTGCGCTTAACGACCGCGCTGATAGTCCCTGTTGTGGTCGGTAAATGAGGACTACCTGTACTAGAGTTAGAACCGTTCAAGAGCAACCTACCGACAGTTTAATATTTGCAGGCTCTTTCTGCAGGAGCCCAGATCAGCTCAACAGGAGCGAACAGAACAACCATCCACGACACCACCCCGCTGAGAACAACGGCGATTCTCATGCTCGCGGAGCAGCCAAGGCCAACAAACCAGGTTAATTTTGGAAGAGAAACAGCGACATCACAAGCAGGCTGAAAGGGGCCCGCCCAGGGAGGAACCGCAATCGCCAGCCTGGGTCGGGGGCTCGAGCAGGGGCCCCCGCCGACGCCGACACGCGTGTTGG